GATTGCCCTCAAAAGAAGGCCCTTAATTCTCTTCTTGCAAGCCATAAAGAAGAAAGTGACAGGGAAAATGACATGGAGGCACGTGTGGGATCTCTTCAACAGTTGAATGCGATGCAAGCTCCAATAAGTCTAGCGCTCTAAGGAGGAACTCCTGCGTTGGTCAACCAACATTAGAAGTCAGGACGATTCCTATATGTGTAGCATCGTCGTAACTACAAAAGATAGATCTTTGGGCATTCAAAGGCTCTTCTCAAGCATTTTTTAGAGACCCAAGGGGAGGAAATAGAAATTGTTAGAGAACAAGTGATGTGAGTGAAATTTGTGACACATTTTTCTATATTTTCTTGTCTTTTACTATTTGTACCTTACTTGTATTTTTCTATATATTTTTTTGTGTATAATTCATGAGTTCTTATTGATGCCTTAGTCATACATAGGAGCTAACATAAGGGAGGTACCCAATTCCATTTCAAAGGCACCTAGGCACCTCCCAAACGGTGCCAATGCGCCTCCCATCAGGCATGTATGCCATTCCCATCCGAGAGAAGAGCACCAAGACTCCACTTTATGAAGCACCAAGGTGCCCCTATGTGTGGAAAATAAAGTTCAACCGAACAAGCAGCATCTTGGACCTCCTAGTGAAAACTTGACACCACTTTTCAGGCTCAACAAACAAAGAAGGACAAAACTTAATGCCACATATGGGAAACTTGACGAACGATGCAGAAGTGAGATGACATAGTGAGTAGAAGTCTAACAATCCATGGAAGAACTATATCGTTGTGTCACGCTTTGCCATATTTCAGAAATTGGCAAAACAATCATGGGATGAAAAATTTAAGAAAAAACCAAATGGATGAGAGTAATCCAAGTAACTCTAGAAGACTCCATCACATTCTAGACAATGTTAGAAAAAAAGATCCAAGGAGAACTCAAGAATAACCTAGAAAGATCCAAGGTCATGTATGTATATAAGAAAATTGTGCAGAACTATCTAGAACTATCTAGAAGCTAGATTTTTCTAATGTAATCTAGAAAGTTCTCTTAGACTTGGGAGTACTATAAATAGAAGTCATTCCCTCATTTTGAACCATCCAAGCCTTCATCTAAGAACCATTTAGCGTTCCAAGCATTCAAGTGTTGTAATCAAT